ATCTATCTATCTATCTATCTATCTATCTATCTATCTATCTATCTATCTATCTATCCTGATCAATAATCAATAACCACAGAGACACCTGAGCACTGATACCTGTGTGAAGGCTCTGGGTGGGGGGGGCAGGTTGTCCTGATCACAAACTCCTCTCTGCTCCTGCAGTCGACTACTGGTGGCCTGACAGGTGAAACAGGTGAGAAAGAAGCAGGTGGTCATTCTGGATGTCAAGTCAACACAACAAGACAATGTAGAACACGACACAATCACTACACAAAGGCTGTGTGTCTGTGTGAACTCACCGTCAGCTGTGACGTCAGTCTGTCAATCTGTTCTTTCTGATGTTTAAACAGCTGCAGGGAGCAGAGAAAGTACAGTTACAGTCTGTGTTTGTGTGTCTGTTGTTTGTGTCTGTTGTGTGTCTGTTGTTTGTGTCTGTTGTGTGTGTGTTGTGTGTGTGTCTGTTGTGTGTCTGTGTGTCTGTACCCTGCTGCTGTGGTTCTGCAGTTGCAGCAGTTGACTGTTTTCCACTTCGAGTCTCTTCAGGTCCTGAACAGGAAGCCGAACTCCATCATCCAGACACTGCTGCACCTTCTGCTGCAGGCTGCAACCACACACAGACACACAACAGACACACAACAGACACACAACAGACACAACCACACACAGACACACAACAGACACAATCACACACAGACACACAACCAAAGTAACACAACATTGTGTTTAAAAAACATTAAGCTGCTGTTCAAACTGCAGATATGAGGGTTGTTAAAAAATGTCAGACTGTACACAGAGCGTGTGCCTGGAGTGTGTGCGTGGAGCGTGTGCGTGGAGCGTGTGCGTGGAGCGTGTGCCTGGAGCGTGTGCGTGGAGCGTGTGCCTGGAGCGTGCGCCTGGAGCGTGTGCGTGGAGCGTGTGCGTGGAGCGTGTGCATGTGCGTGGAGCGTGTGCGTAGAGCGTGTGCAACATGTGCAGCAGTAACTGTCATGAGTCACAGTCACATGACTCCGTAGCAACATGAGGACGTTCCAGATGTGGTGAGTTCATCCTGAACTGTAACTCAGACTTCCTGTTGTTTCTTCCTCTGGTGGTAACCATGGTAACCACCACAGACACCTCACCTGGTCTGTCGACTGGTACTGTTGCACAGGTGGCCCGCTCGCTACGTGCACATGCACAGTCCTGGAACTTTGTGATCAGCCTTGTGTTTAGTGCAGAGCCAGCTGACATGTGGTCAGCGTTCTAACAGAACAGACGTGTGAAGCAACAGCTTCACAGGATGAACAGAAACCGGCAGAAAAAGACTTCAGTGGAACCAGCAGCTGATCAGGACAGGTGAGGACTCACCTGTGCACTGAAGCCATCAGTTCCTTCTCTCTCTGGTTCTGCAGCTCCATCTTCAGCTCCTTCTGCTTCATCAGAGCAGAGCCTTCATCCAAGCTCCTCTGCAGCAGAACCACAGCTTTCTGAAGATCCTCCACTCTCAGCTGCACCTGCTGCTGCTGAGGAGACAACATCTGGATCAACCTGAGGGCAACATCTGGAATAAACTAACCAAATGTCTGGTGGTTGTGTGTGTCCGTGGTTGTGTACCTGCTGTTGCTGCACCTGCACCTCCTCCAGCGTGGGCAGGTCTGACAGGTATTTCTCCAGCGTTTCTATGCGCTGCTGCTTCTCCTGGTTCTGGTCCGTTTCTCTCTGACACTTCTTCTTCAGGCTGCTGATGTATCGATCCCTGGTCTTGATCTGAGCAGACAGCAGTGAGAACATTGTTAAGCTCATTATTTGTTGGCAGCATCACCACTAGTGGATGAAGAGACGCCTGCTGCTTCACCTTCTCCTCCAGCTTGCGGACGTCTTCGCTGTATTTCTGTGTGACCTGCTTGAAGAACTCGTTCAGATGCAGAACTTCCAGTTCAGCAACAGCTAGTTTTCCTCGCAGGTCTTCGTCGCAGCAGATTCTGCTGCTCGACTGTTTGCAGGACATTCTCGGATCCTGAAGGAGCGACAGAAGTGGATCTAGTTTGGTCCTGCAGGTTTGTGACGACGGCACTGAGGAGCTGTGGCTCGGTGTCACCTGAAGATCGTCCAACCAGCCTCTCTGACTCTGCAGAACCTGCTGAGCTCGCAGTTCGTTCTCTCTGATCCGAGCGTGAAGCTGCAGAATCTGCTGCTTCTGTCTGAAACACAAAGATGGAATCCAGGTCGAGAAAACACCTGACCTGCAGAAAACCCCTCACACTGAAGGAACTCAGACAGTTGAGATGGTTGATGGAGAGCAGCTGTATGAAGGAGAACCTCCGTCCTGTAAACTGACTGTTCTCACTGTGAAGGAAAAATTACTTTCCTATTTGGAGTTCATCTTTTAGAGAAGATACTGAACCCTGATGGACCTCCTGAGGTAAATGTAGTGCTGTTGCAGATGTGCGCTCTGTAACCTCTATAGATTCTTGACCTCATGTAAACCTCATCGTAGGAGGACAGCCTGCACCTCTCAAGGTCAGATGATACCCAGGCGCTGACTTATCTTTGCTTCTCTTTCTCCCATAAATCTGGACGTGGCTCCCACTGAAGGAGGACATAAGACTAAGGAGTGATGCTGGCGTTGCATGTGTGGACTGCTGCTCTGTTGGTGTCACTTCTCCTGATGCATCAGTAAACCTCATTCCAACCTCAGTCATCTGAGTCTCTGGTGTGTCTCTGTGTCGGGCTCCTCATCCTACATCAGCCTCTTCCAGAATTTCCACAACACTCACAGAAGAACATCACAAGTTAAGATTTTAGTTCAACACGTGACCGAAGAAGCAGATTTTCTTGGTGGTGCGAGTTTCACCTGAAGGCAGCAGATTAAAGATCATCTCATGTATGTCTGTGCAAGACAACAAGGTTTTCTGTTTCATTCACATGAAATGTAAACGATGCATAAACACAGTGTGAAAGTCCTGATCCTCAACTGGTGGACACGAGAACCAAAGTGGTTCATCTGTCCGTCTGTCCATCTCATAACATCACTGACAGTCTGATTAAAACTCAATGACAA